CCGATAGCCCAGCGCCACACACATCCGTCTCGTTGCCATGAGGAGCTCTTCTTTATTCCTCAGGTCCTCACGGCTTTTCCTGGGTTCAGCCAACACATCTCCCCAACTCCTTTCCCTTCAATTCACTGAACATCCTGGTTAAACAGTCTGAAGTACAAATTCATGTCACTAAAAATTTCAGATCTTTGTCTCCTGTCCTGATGTGAGCACACACCGCCCACTGCTTGGGTCCGCACTACTTGTGGCTCTTTGTCTCCAGGGTTCCTTTTGGCTTCCTGGCTCTCTGTCCCCCTAGACAACCGTTTCATAGGAAGCAGAGATTGCACTTCTGTGTGTTCTTAGCACTGGCCCATGTCCAGCCTGAGGAGACGCTGAGACCCCACTCTGGTGGTTGGCCCTCCCTTCCCGCCTCCAACTCTCCTTGATCACATTTGACCTCTCCTGCCGGGCAGACATTCTTTTCCATTTGTCCTGGCTTCCCTCTGATGTCCTGTTCCTAATTTCACTGACTTTCTCTGCCTCCTCCTTTCTTGTAGGAGGGGAGATTTAGCGATCTTTTCAGAATTCTTTGAGTAACTTATCTCCAGTTCTTTTGTATCCCTTAAAGACTTTTTGCAGGATATATTTTTTTGTCCACATACTCTGTTCTGAGTATCTCCAAGCTCAGAGCTGTCCCTTGTAAAGTTGAGTTGGGGTGGGGAGAACTGGGTTATACTACTTTAGGTCATCATTTTGGCATGTATCCTTTTAGTGTCTGTGTGTTCAGGAGATATATGATCTTACATTGCCCCAAGCATAGTGTACAGATTTGTAATCCACTTTTAATCCCTTTACTCTTTGGCTCAGTATTTGATAGTAGAGTGCAGTGTTTTATCTGAACTTTAAAGGAGCTGTAAAGTTGCTGCTGTAATAAATGGCTTTCAGAAAGAACAGTAACTCCAGTGATTTGGAAAACAAACATGACTTGCTTAAAAAAAAAAAAAATCTCTGGTAGCCTCAGAGTCATGGAATGGGGTCCTTAGAAACCGCTCTCCCTAGATCTGAGTGCCATAGGCCTGTGAGCAGGTAACTCCTCTGCTTGTGTGTCGCTGACCCAAGTTCTACTATTAGTGGCTGTAGGTGAGCCACTAGTGGTGGCTCATACTGGAGTGTCAAGTACTGTTCCTTAGGTACTAGTCAGAGCTCATCAGAGTTATGTGATTTGTTTTAAAGGGCGTCTAATTGTCAAAGAAGCATTGGAAGGTAAGGGTGGAAAAGGAACTGAGTGAGCTCACCAGCCAGGTCTGAACTTGATTAAGCTTGTATTCTTTGTTGTAACTTCTGCTAATACCCATTAAATCTGTAAAGCAAGACTAAAGAACTGTTTATATAAAAAAAACTATATATGTTTATAAATGTTTTTAGATAGCCTGCTGTAAATGAATATAGTACCATGTAATTATTCTGATAGTGTTCTAGTCAGATTACCTTGAAAACCCGAAATGATCTTGATGAACAGTAAGACGTTATGATTTCATGGTTTACCTGCGTGCCTCCTACATAGATGTATACTTGTATCTAACAGGATTACCAAATTACATACCTTTTTGGTATCTGTAACGTGCCTAAAATACCAGTGCATTCATTGGCCAGTTATGGTTATGAAACCACAATGACATTGCCAGAGGAGGATTTGTTCATGCATATAGATAATCTTCAGGTTTCTTATACTATTTTGAGAGAGGTTAGATGTTCTTTTCATTGTATTTAAGCTGTTCTTTATTCGTGCGATTAATTTTTTTAATGTGCTTTTTGTAGGTAGCACTGTGTGGTTTGCTTTAAACCTAATGTCTGTGCAGGGATAACTTAGCAAATATAATTGTTTTCTGCCTGGACAAACTGCCAGCAACTTAAGCTGCTGGGCAGTGTCGCTGTGTGGTTGGTGATGCCCCCTCAGTAGGGGTAGTGGGTGTGAGGGCTGGTGGCGAGAAGAAAGTAAACAATCAGAAATAGAAACACATTTCCCGTCCATGCTGCTGTGATGGTGAGTGTGGGGAGCATCACCCCTAATGGAAATGCTTCTGGGCAGGTTCTTCCACAGCTTTAAGTAGCCTTTCTTTGAAAACTCCCAAATCTGTGTTTCCGATATTGGCCTCCTTGTTAGTTTGTGCAGGCTGTCCTAACAAAGTACTGCAAACTAGGTGGCTTAAAAAAACAACAGATATGTGTCATCTCTGAAGCCTGCAATCAGGATGTCAGCAGCAGCATGGTACCTTTAGGAGCTGTCGGGGAGAACCTGTGGTGCCCCTCTCCCCCAGCTTCTGGTGTTTTGCTGGCAATCTCTGGTCTTCCTTGGTTTTTATAAGCCTCCCTCTCACCTCCGGCTTCCTTTTCACTGGGCTTCTCCCTGTGTGCATGTCTGTGTCCAAACTTCCCTTTTTAATAAGTCATATTGAAATAGGTGCTTGCCTGATTCTGTCAAAGACCATCTTAACTAATTACACTTGCAACAACAACCCTATTTCCAAATAAGATGACATTCTGAAGTAGAAAGGACTGCAATGAGAACTATTTTAGGTGGGGCAGGGTAGGAGCACTATTCTATCCATGTTAGCCTCTTTTCTTTCCTGGGTTCCATACTGGTCCATTTGGTTTCCTGTTGGACACAATGCTTCATTGTCCCTGGTACCTCACATTTACGAGTCAGACTTGGTCTTACCCTGTCACAAGTCCTCTTTCTCTTTCTCTTTTTTATTCTTTAATTTTGGTGATATTATCATCCTCCCACTCAGTTATACAACTTAGAAGTTTTGGGACCAAGTTTTGTAATTCCTGCTGTCACTGTATTTCTCGGACCTTTTCCCTTTTCTGATTCTCAGTGCTCTAGCTCTGGATTAGGCTCCTACTGCCAGGCTAAACAGCCCACATCTTGTTTTCCCTCTGCTAGATTTTTCTTTCACTTCAGTTCCTTATCAGAAACAAAGATCTGAATCTAATATTTATTAACCCCAAAGCCTTCAGTGACTTCTCACTCTTGGCATGAAAGTCAAGATTGTGTAACTTGGTCTTACAGGTTTTCTATGGGTGGCTGGCATTCCTGGTCCTACTGCATTGCCTCTCTGGTGATCTTGTAGACACAGAGTGGGTCCCCATAAGTCTTCACCTGTGAACTTTGCTCTGCCTTTCCCCATTGGGGAATGCCCTCTCTCCTCCTTTCTTTCTTCTTTTCATCTTTGCAAGCCAGCTAGAATTCTATCTCAGCTAAATGGAAATTAGGACACCTGGTTTATGGCCCAAAATGCCAGAAACTCACCTTACAGTCATAACCTTCTAATTTTCTCAAAGGTAAAATAAGGAAGTTGATGTCTAAGATCTTTCCAACTTTAAAATCTGTCCTTTAAATGCCACACCTGCATGAAACATTCCTCAGTTCTAGGCAAATTGAACCACTTTTCCTTTTGTGCGCCATAGTGCTTGATTTCTTCTAGTTTTGACTTTCAGCCCTTGCATTCTAGTTGATATATATGCATATAATTCTTCTTCTTCCCCTGACAGTTCGTAATCTCCTTGAGGCCAGCCAAGAATGTGTGACTCAAATTTGTCTGCCTTCCCCTTTGCCAGTGTTGCTTAAACCTAGGTTTCCCAGTGAAATAGGACAACTGTTCTGGATAGGTACTGTCCTGTAACAAATGCTGTTTCTAGATGTTCCTATGCATAAGGAGGTGTTTTGGATTGTGAATGATACAATATAGCATATTGAACCACCATGCAGTTTCTCCTTTATGACATTAGTATAATCAGGTGACATACTAGAAAAGGGCTTAGTTAACTTACTTTGTATAAAAATGTGCTTTCTTAGCTGTTCAGAAGTAATGAAATGTTCTGTGAAATATGCAGAGCATGCAGAAAGAAACATTTTCTTTCTTACCTGTATAACTATCTTCCAGACACGTGAACTATCTCAATGTATCATTGGATGTGTGGACATTTAAAAACACAAAATAGTGGCAAAGACCATTCCTGGAAAAGCTTTTATGGATCTGTTTACTTCTTAGAAGTCAAAGCATCTGCGGCCTGTTGTGCTCTTCCTGAAGGACACATGTGATCATGTCCTGACCTTGCTCAGACGCTTGAATCACTCCCTGCTTCCTAGAGAAGATTGACCAGGCCCCCTTGACCTCAAAGTCACCTCTGGTCCTGTGTTTCCAGTATTTTTTCACAGCGTTCTCTTTTGTGCCCTCTACTATCCAAAGTTGTGTCCTCACCATTTTCCTTGTATGCTTCTAAGCTCTCGTGAACCTGGCTCTCTCCAGTGTTTCCTCTGTTTAAAGTACCCTCTGTACCTTGTCCATCACGAAACATATGAGTTTCACTCTTTCTTGAAGGCCCAACTTACATTCCCATTTGTGTGGTAGTTGTCTTTGATTTCCTACCAGAATTCTCTTAGCATCGTATTGTTCCTGTCGTGTGATTTGTCCTTCCTGTGTGCTGCTATTTCTGCCTTACTAGACTGAAAGTCCCTTGGGGGTCAATTTTACATCTGATTTATCTGTATTCTTCCTGTATCCTCCATATCACCATCATTCAGTCCTTTTAGATAGCAGTAATGGATGAATCTCATGAATCATTTTTAAAATATTGCGTGGAAGTATTAATGAATGACAAATCTGCTTTACTTTGCTTTTCCACAATCACATCTTAATCTAATGTTTGTAAGTATTATTTTTAGAATACAACAGCACGCCTAAAGCCAAGTCTGAATCTGAAACAAAAATGGTATTTTGGGTCAAATGGTTATGTTTAACTTATTATCATAGCCCTTTAGATTCTGTATATCATCATTTCAGTCCACTATATGTAAACAGAAATGCTAAGTGTTTGAAAGTATTTTTAATTTTTAATTTTATATTTGACAATAATATTCTGTTGTTGTTTTTTTTTTTTCATTAGTATATATTTGTGTGTGCTTTTGTTTTCCACAAATTACTGAGTTTCTGTTTTGTGCTTGTTTTGTGTTGCAGATTAATATCATTTCAAGAATTTGTAGCATTTGAATCTGTCCTGTGTGCACCGGATGCTTTGTTTATGGTGGCCTTTCAGCTGTTTGACAAAGCTGGCAAAGGAGAAGTTACTTTTGGTAAGGGACGTGGTGAGTGCGTGTGCAGTTACATAAGTGCTGGTATGTGTGAACATCCCCCCCACACACATCCGTATAGTGTATGGAAATGATTGTTAGTATATTCTTCCTAACAAAGATAACTCATTAATTTTGTGCTTTAGTTCAAATGCCTTCCTATTTAAAAAGGATTCATTTCTGGCTAAGTAGTTTTGATTCTCTAGCTTGGTTTTTTTAATTAATTTATTTATTTTTGTTTACATAATTGTTCATTTTTAAATAATATTTGCTTCCCACCCCCTTCCCCGCCCCTCCAGGTGTAGTCCCCATTGAATTTCCTTCACCAAGGCACCCATGCACCATCACCACAGCCCCCTGAGCTCCTCTCTCCCTCCCTCTGATCCCTGTCCCGCCTCCTCCCTTACAGGATGTCTCTGATTTATAATTGTCCGTTTTTGTTTTGTTGTGTTTTGTATTGTTATTATCTTTTTACACTGATGTCTTAAACCCAAATGCCCAAAAATAGATGACTGGATCAAGAAGATGTGGCATATATATACAATGGAATATTACTCCGCAATCAAAAAAGATAAACTCATGCCATTTGCAGCAACGTGGATGGAGCTAGAAGGAATTATGCTCAGTGAAATAAGCCAGAAGGAAAAAGAAAAATATAGGATGGTTTTACTTATAGCAGGAATATAGGGGAACCAAATAAGACATCTGGCTTGGTTTTAAGATAAGGGAGGATGTGGCATGATCTTTTCACAGGGTTGTGGAATTTGAGAAGTAGACAGACTTCTGTCCATCCCCTTCATAATCGATAGGGCTGTCTACTGCCAGAATGAAGAAGTTAATAAGTTTTCCATGAATGGAAGCTACTCATGTAATTTGCTGTACTTGTTGTCCTTACCTGGTCCTCATGGAATAGCTGAGACCACAGGCTCTGCCTGAGGTGTTAGTTGAGGGTGATAAATGAAGAGCCTGTTCCTCTGAACACTGTTCCACCACAGCTGTGTTGGCACTGCTTGCAGAGCTGCTGCCTTCTTTAATTTAAAAGACCAAATCATCTTCACCAAGATTAGCAGCAGAGCTACAGAAAGCCTTGCAATATTTTAAGTTTTAGAAGAAAGGGAAGACCAGGAAGTAGGGGGCAATGGCATTTACTTTATAAAAAATAAATTGGCCTCCAAACAAAGATTTGGCAAAATGTAACATTTCCCTTGGACCATCTCGTGTCCTGAATATGTCATATGCGTCTTATAGAGACTATTGTCTGTGGAGAATTTGGGAGCCCTTTTTTGCATACAGGTTGCCCTTCCAGAGGAGATGGCTAATGTGCCCATTTTAAATGTTTTTGTTCCTAGTTTCTGATTCACTCAGACCTTTGGGCTTGTCTAATTTGATGGTTTGTGGGAAATGTACAGATGGGGTGGGGGAAATACAGATGGTGTAATACAGCACCATGTATTCTGGAAATAGTTCTTAGAGACTCTTAGCCACTTTCCAGCTCTGCCACTTTTGTCTCTGAACCAAGTTAATTATCCTCTCAGGTTCTCATTTTCCTTATCAGAAATGAAGATAATAACCACATCAAGTATAGGTAAAGCAGTATAATAGATTTACTCTAACAGCCCTCATCCCCTTCACCCATTTCTCTGTGATCTTTTGACATGGCCAAGTCTTTTAGGCTATATCAGGGAGGGCAGCAGCAAAATAGGTTTTGTTTCATATAATCTAGAAGCCCAGCTGCTTCTCACTAATGCTTTCTGGGGATTATTTAACATTTTTAAATGCCTAGAATGATTCATTTATTTCCTTGTCCATCACTTAATTCCTCTTAGCATCACTGTAATCATAACTTTTCAATGGAGCACCAGTAAAAAATGCCTGCCATTGAAATCTTCATTATAAATGAGCCTCTAGCTCCTGGTGGTATTGAAGTACCCGGTGGAATCCAGTTTGATGAAAATGTTATGGTAGCATTTCCTTGAGATGAGCAAAGACAATCCAGTAAGTTTGAGTGAGTTCAGCTCTGGCGTTTTCTTTCACATCTTCTTCCACAGCAAGTGGGGATAGAGGAATGGGAGAAAGCTGGGAGAGAGATGGTGGGCTGAGACATGTACTGCAGGTGTTTTCCTTCATTCTAGCCAGTCTTCCCTTCCTGGGAATGAAGTCCTGCCAGTGTGTGGCAGGGAAGTTGGTGGCTCCAGCCATACCACCAGCCCTGGTGGAGGAAGGAAGACATTTCAGGGGTCCAGAGAGGTACATACTTGTTACTGTGATTAGAAGAATAAAACAGGTGAAAAAGCACAGGCAGGAAATGAGTCATCTTTGAGGTGTAGAAGCAGGTGATGGTGTAAGAGTCCTGTTTCTACTTCTTATTAGGAGTTTGTTGATGAAGAAGGCATTTCAATTTTCTAAACCTTAGTTTCCTTTCCTGTGAAATCAGGGATGTAATGGCTGTCTTACAGAACTATATGAGGATTAATAGATCTACCACCTAAAAAGGTGGGAAATAAAGGCCTTTATAAAAATAATATTTTAAAAAAAAGCAGCTTGAGAGAACAAAAGAGAATTTTTTTCTTCTTTCCTTCTTTTGTTTTTTTGGGAAGCCCTTTATTTTTAACTTGCAACTTAACTACTGACCAGTTAGCCAGTGGTTTGCTTGTCATCTTTGTTATTTGAACATTGGTTTGTCTCTGAAGGAATAAGAGATGGAAATGAAAAATTGCAGCTTCCAAAGAGTTGAAATTCTGGTTGCATCATCATTTGCATATAGCTGTTACAGAAGAATGCATTGCTTCCTTCCAAGACCCTTCTTCCATTGGCAGTTTTGTTTGTCTCACAAAACATAAACAAGTGAGCCATTAATCCCTATTTAGGATTAATCTGAAAGAGATAGTCATAATATAAAGAAGTTACCCCAATGGCCATCAAATTGCAAAATAATAACTCTCCTTTACTATTTCTCATAGGGTGGGGTAGAGTCATCAAATGTAGGTGCTATCAGAACAGTCTTTGCCCAAGTAACTTAAAAGCGTATGGGAGGGTGGGGTAGGCTGCCTAATGAGTGTTGTGACAGTAGGTATCTTTGTAGAAAAACTGTGTTTTCCAGGAACTCATATGGCGTTGAAAAGATAAAAAAATAAATAAATAAAAATGAGTTGGACCAAAAAAAGGACTTATCCCGTCAATTCTGCTCTCATAAAGCCACAGTTTTAGATCATGCCAGTCTATGTGTGACTTGACTGGCTGTTTTTGTGAGTCTTTTTGAGGTGAATGTACTTGCACTCTGACCATGGGTGCTGCCTTCAGTCCCTGTAAATCCTTCCCAAGAATAACCTTTTTGCGTTTCAGAAGGCTGTCTACCTGAGTATGCATCTTTGGGAAAGGTAAGTGCAGGTGGTGAGAGAGGATGGGCTGTCTCGCCTTTCCGATTGTCTCAGTCAGATGTGGTATCGAGAGCCTTGTGTTTGCACCAAGACAGGTTCATGTTGTGGGCTGCAGGGATGGACTCAGATCCCCGGGGTCAGCCAGGCTGCCTTTCATTCAGTGGGGAGGAGGGGAGTGGTTACACTCTTTATCTGTTTGTATATTGGGTTTCCACATCGGAGCCTGTTTGAAGCAGGGCTTCGATGACTACGCTCCGTCAGCACCAGTGTTTGTCAGTAAGCTGGCGGTGTTCAAGTTCCACTAAGGCTGATTCTGCTACACACTAAACAAAAATCAGATGGAGTAAAGGGGCATATAATCGAGTGTCACACTTCAGTAAGACCTTGCCCTGTGTTCTCTGAGGCTTTGTTTATATTTACCATTTTTTCCTGTCTAGATCACTCCCTATGTTTGCTACAATGAAAAGATCTTGATTAGGCCAATTTTATCTCTTTGATATCTAGCTCATTATATTCTCCTGTTTCCTTTGAGCGAAAATGTATCTCCAATACTCTTGTTCTCATCATGTTTTCTTATTTTGATGCCTGATTTTTGTATTTTGAGATACCAACAGGTATATAACAGGAAAGCATTATAAAGTGAGAATTCTAGTTATTAATTTGTGATTCTGTATATGTAGAGGAAAAAATTGTTCTGAATTTTACATTGTAACCTATTTTATATAATAGTAATTGTTTTTATCTTTTTTTTTCTTTTACATGTCACTTGATGACATTCTGCTTAATGGCAAACTTCATATGTGATGATGGTCCCAATATTATATCATATAGCCTAGATGTGTCGTAGACGATACTGCCTAGATTTGTGTAATTAAAAGCTAGCACCTTTACAGGATGTTTAGTCTCTTTCTTTGCTATATAATATCTCTTTGATCCCATCCTAATTTATCTTCTCGTTCTGTTGATAGACATTTGCATATTTCCAGCTTTAGCTGTTGCAAATGTTGTATTTTACATTTTTGTATGTGTGTATGTGTGTGTGTATTTGTAGGAATTTCTCGGAATTTTTGAATTTTGGGTCATAGGAAATGTTTTTATCAGTCAGTTTCCAAAGTGATCAGACCAGTTCATTTTCAGAGAGTTCCAATTATTCCAGGTCTATGACAACACTTGACCAACTACTTTCTTTTTTTTTTTTTTTTTTTGGTGGGACCCTCGCCAGTGGCCAGGGATCGAACTGGCGCTGCAGAGGCTGTGGGCAGCCTCGCAACCCAGTGCTCAACTGCTGCACCACCAGGGGAGGTCCACCAACTACTTTTATTTTAGCGATACCTCACTGTGTGACTTTAATTTTTATTTTCATGATTATTAATGGGGTATATAACTTTTAAAAATACACTTCTTGTCAATTTGTATGTCTCCTGTGGTGGTATGCCTGTTTTCTAGATAAAAGGCCTGTGTGGGTTATCTACTTCACAGACATCTTTACTCTGTGACTTATATGTTCTGTTATTGGAGTCTTGAGAAATATCAGTTCTTAATTTTACAAATTATCAGTGTTGGTACAAATTATCAGCATTTTCTTTTATGGGTAGTGCTTTTTATGTCCTGTTTAGAGATCTTTGT